CAGAGAAGGAGACAAGAAACCCAGTGAATAAGACATCTTCATTTACTAGTTTGCTGGGGAAGTGGAGAAATTGGATGTAGGAAAAATATACAGAGTGTATAGCACAATTAAAAAAAAAGTAATAGAGGGAAAATTACTTATAATGCTCTTTCTCCCCAGTAGCTTTCTTTCACTTCAGAAGTAAGCTGTGGTTCTCTGTTAACTGTTATTGCAATATAGAAAGAGCGTATCAGCAAGCGTGTATCTGAACACGCTATAAAAAAAACAAATCCCCTTTCTGGGTTCTGTTCTACCTGGGGGATTATGCCTGCTTGGCTCTCCTCCTGCTTGCCCATCATTGTGTAGGACTTCCCAGCTCCAGTTTGTCCATAGGCAAAAATGCATACATTGTAGCCCTCAAAGGCATGCAGCAACATCTCCTTCCCAATATCATTGTACACACGGCTCTGAGATGCAAAGCAGGGATCTTCAGGCTGAAAAGACATGAAAACAGCATGAATACAGTCTTATCCTATCATTCAAGTAACATTTCAAAAAGCAACTGGATTTTTTTCTACTTCTATCTTGTGGGTCAATCCCTTAGGAAGAGGCAAATGTGGCACATTTTTACACACAGCTTTTTCCCAAGGCAGTACCAGCTGGAGAAGAACGACAATGACAACCCTTGCAGGACCACTCCATCGCTGCTGAGGAAACAATCTGCACAAAGAAACCAACCAATTCTGTTTTGTGAACATTGTTGACACTACTGGAAAAGTTTTGTGCAAGATCACTGACAAACCAGATCCAGAGTGTTTGGGAGGAGGGGGACGGGGGGGGAAGTAGAGTTCATAGGGTCAATACAAAGGAATAAAGGGCTGGAAGCTACAAAAATCCCAGGCTGGCTGGTCTTGACAAGGACTCTGAAGGGTAGCACAGGGAAAAGAGAAGCAAAAGTTGCTTAGGTTTATTTTGTTGGGGGTGGGGGGTGTTTAAGATTAAAAAAATGTAAACAAACCATTAGAATGACCAAGTTTTTCTTACAGCTGTCCGATTCCACTGTCTAATCCAATCCAGGTTTCTATTTACAACCTCACTGGTGACTACAAAATCTCTAAGTATGTCAATACATATTCAAATTAGCAAGTAGCTGAACTGGTCAAGGACAATGTATCAGAACATTTTTCTATGGCTAAACTCAAGGTTAGCAATAAAACTGAAATGTAACAGTTAAAAAAAAAAAGCTACTTTAAAGCAATTTAGCCCAGTGATAAAACAAACAAAAAAAATCCACTGCAGATGCACCCAATGATGGAAATCTGTATAAGGACAAAGCAAGTTATCACCTTCAAACACTCAACTGAAAAGTTTGTTACATTTTGAAAAGAGGCACCGCTGCACATGCAATGAAAAAAATCGCAAGATAAAAATGTCAAAAATACATTGACATTTTTAACACTTGCCAGATCTCAAGGCAAATACAGAACCTGTTCAAAACAAAACTTCATGAATTGTAGAAATTTTAAGTGCTGCATTTCAAGCACTCAGGCACTGCACTGATCAAACTCCAACATCCAGTCACGAGAGGCAATCCAAGATGCAGCTCCAGGCATGGTACAGGATACAAAAATACTGAGAGAAAGCTGGATTCAGTGTATATGCTCTTTCTTCTGATGTCCTCTCTCAATTATTTAGGAAAGTCCTTGGTAAATATACTTGAAAAAGTCATCATACTAATGATTATCTACACAGATGTTTTATGTTGCACAAACCGGAAGAGACGGCACAGACAACATAGCACTGAAACTTGATTTTGTAGGAGTATGTCACTACATTGTATGCGACTGGTATTCTTAATCTAGCATTTCTCTCTTCCTGAAATGTTGGATTTTAACATTACTTGCTTCTGGAATCAGGACAAATTCAGCTGTGCTAACATTCTAATGCTGGGCTCAAGGTTTTATCAGACCAGTTCCTTTCCTTGATGCTGCTTATCTGCTAGTTTTCAGGAATTATGTTCATAATGTTCCTCTGACTGATCCTGTAATCCACTTGCATGGCTGCTCTGGAAGATTCAGTAAAAGAGCTGCACAAATTCAAGTTTTTCATCATGAAAACAATCTTGTTGGCCACAGCTTTGCTCAGAAATATTGTCTTATTTCCAACATCCAAGTTACTAAAATTGATCTTAGTGAAATGCATTATTGCTTCTTTCTATATCTTTTGAGATAATAAGGCAGTGGAGGGGTAGAGGGCAGAACAACACAGTTCTGCTGCAGAACAATTACTGGAAGTCAGCAAGACCTTAGCACCGATTTGCAGGAGGGTGGGGCAGAGGAGCTAGATGAGAGTTTACTGCTTTTGCAGCTATTGGAAACGTGGATCACTATCTCTTCCAGGTATGCTAAGGGAACCCAGGCCACATCTCTCCTTGAACTGTAAGAACTTGAGCAACTTTCACTTGTCTAAGAGCAAAACTGAATTAACTGTGTTTCACATGCATCCTTAAAATACTTAGAACAGAACATCGTTGGAGAATATTTTAAGTAATCTTTCAAATATCCACAACTTGTTATCAAACTCCAGGAGCTTAGCTTTCTGCTCGCCCCCGAACAGGAAAAGACAACATACAATGACAAGCTTTTAACCTGAATGAGGGCGAGCGAGACAAGTGCAGAAACATCTGACAGGGCTGGCATGATCAGAAGAAGAGAATTCAGTTAAATCAAGCCAGTCAACAAAAAAAAATATGGTCTTCTTGTAAAACAACTTACCGATGTGTGGGACCAATAAGAGTAGTCAAAGCTGAAGGACTTTGGTGCTTCCTTAGGATTCTTTGGGTTGATAATACCTACAAGAAAAAAATTCAAACTCTTAGCTAACTTGACATTTAGAAGCATAATTAATGAGCTTGCTGACCCTCAACTTAATCTGTGAATCTGAGTATTCACAGAGTTGCCACACTGCACAGGAGTAATAAGATAGAAGTAATAGGCTCACAGCTTCCTAACATGGTATTTCTGTAGGCCTTATTTGAAATAAGTCAAGGAAAAAAATTCCTAGAAGGAATGCTGCTGCTAAACAAAATTCTTCTATTGGACAGAAAGCCAGAAGTAAGTCATCCTGGTCCCTTGGCTTTTAGAATGGGACAGGCTTTTAGGATTTGAGGGATATTAGCAAGAAGGAAGATCCGAAACACTAAGAATTCAAGAATCCCTGCTGATTTCATAGCAGCACGACTCAAGTCTATTTTGAAACACATGTTACACAGTACAAGAGCTCACTGCAGAAGGATTTTCTTTAAGAAGCTCAGTATTTTCAGGGCATGGAAGAAGATATGAAAAAAGTTGGATCTACAGACATTTCAGCGATTATCTGCATAGTTTATTTCAATGTTCTTTTACATGCACAAAGCCCACAGACAGATTTTTAATAGGACTAACATTAACTGAACCAACCAAATTACTGGTAAATGTTCTTACTGTATACAGCCACTGAATCCCACAGTGACCCCCAACCAACTTGTATAGTTTTTCTCTTTGGAACGTCCATGTAATATACAACGGCCCTATGATGAAGTTCACACACACACAAAAAGCCAGAATGAAAAAATGCTTGTGTGTAGTTCCTATGTTATAGCCTTTACAAGCCCCATGCAAAAAGCTGACCTCCAATTGCCTTTTCAGCTCTTGCAATCCTTGACTTAATTTTCTTTCCAAGGTATTCATATATAAGAATCTAATAATCTTCACGTGAGTTAAGTCACTGAACACTTTACAAATACCAGAGTAAACATGCTTTGCAAAAAAAACTTGTTTTTTCTTCATATCAGTACATCTGTAAATTTTATGCTTTCCTTTTCTCAGATCCTCTAATTCTTTCAATATTTGACCCACACACGCACATTCCCCACAATTAATGAAAGCTCTTCCAGATACCTTTTAGGTTGTTGGTTTTGTGTTTTTTTTTCTTTCCCAGCAACAAAACAGCTTCCTATAACCTTTGCCTGGGGGCGGGGGGGCCACGGGTAAGACACAATGGATTCAGCAGTCATTTTAATGGCATATGGAATGTCTGTAGTTTCTGTATTCCAAGGAGGGTAATATATAAGCACAGCTCTTGCTGCAGAAATGAATCTCTACTGCTTTCTTCTTTTCAGTACTACAGTGCTGGAAATACTTAAATCTATTATTTCCAGCAGCTGTTTTCAACACCATCTGTGTAAGTAAGGACTGTAAAAAGGCATACTCTTGAGGGTATCAAAATTAGGTAAACCACCTTAGATTTACACATACCCATCTGCACCTAAAGCAGCAATCTGCCTTTGGGAGTGATACACTAACTATGACACGTGCAAACAAAATCTACAAAGAAAGAAGCTATACAAAGGTGGTGACAGTCTCCCTGGGGATGATTTACATCCTGATACCAGTCATCCTAAACAAAGGATGCTTATTTCTCACATATTCATGCCAGTTAGGCTATGCTTTGGGAGACGGGGGCTTCTCCCTTTCCTTCTGTGATAAATAAAAATTGTAACACCCGCATCTTTACCATTTCAAACATGAACTTAACATCATGTTGCACCAAAATCTCTGAAAATGTGGTTACAGAATCCCCATTAAAATTAGATCACTCCTCTACCAGATGCTGTGTCCCTGAGCAGGGCTGTTGTCCAAAATTACAGTGTGGAGAAAAGATCAACGTCTGGATTGCAAATAGCAACAGTTGCTACTCTATTTCTTGTGGCCAACTCCATTTCACTTGGATGCACCTTGTGCTGACATTCTTGCCTTATAAAAGCTGACAAGACATGCAAAGCCAATGAATAATGTGCCTTGCACCAGTCAGTGTCAAATGGCAAAAATGCTTGTGGCTTTGGATAGCAACATGGGCATCAACACATAACAAGCTGGTAACCTAAGCAATCATATATGGCTTTAGTTTCCCTTTGCTAGTTTTGACCAAACAGCAATACATCTACAGCACACACTATTACACCAGTTCTAAAGTTAAAGTGAACAAATAACAAATCCCAGAAGACAACTCCCCTGCCCTTAAATCCCTTTCAGTGTATTCCAGACTGCTACAATTCAGCAGCTTCTCATTTCTCATTCAATTATTTAACATCAAAGCTCTGAAAGGTAAAGAGGAAATAATGCCTTGTACCCAGAAGCTGCTATCCAAAAAAGCAGTACAAATGAAAACCAATCTCCACATTAGTTCAATGTAACAACCTTTGGGGGTTAACTACATTATTTTCTTCAATTGTTTTGGGCTATAAGGTCAAGGGAAAGTAATCTAACCATTAAAAGCAGAAAAAAGCAGCAATAAATACAGCCCATTCCTATGTACTAGAACCTATTCCTATGTACTGCGTAACAATTCTAAGCAGATAAATTAAAAAAAAAAAAAGTATTGCCAACACCTCTCCTGACAATATACATTCTGTTGCTTAATCTCAACAGCAAATCATTTCAACTCAAACTCTTGATACTAGTCTTGTGACAGGAGTCTTGGCTGGGGAAAGAGAGGAGGGGCTATATTGGTACATTGCATTTGCAACATAGTTCTGGAAATGGGAAACTCCTAGCCTGGAAAACTGTGAAGGGAATCAAGACAAGCAGAAGCCTAGCTACATCTTTGCTGACCAAGAAACATGTTTTTAACCACAATCTAAAAACATGCATTGGTTACCGAGTGTCACATCGGTGCAGTTTTACTTTAAGGTGCAAATGCAATCACAAAAGAGAGCTTTGATCTCACTTATTTACCTCATGGCATGATTGATTTGTCTTGTCTTAGACTCAATAGTGAAATAGCAAGTATTCATCATTTTTTTCTTTTCCATTTTTGTATTGTTGTTGTTAGGCAAAAAGGACATTTCTCTTGGCCAAGGCAAAGCTGCACCTGGTCTCTCCAAGGAAACAAGAGTTAAACTGGCTTCTAAGATTCAGAAGGCAATTTCTGTTTCTGTGTCAGAAACAGAACAAGCAGCACAGATTTCAGTATTATTCAAAACCAGGTTTAATGTCAAAATACACATTTCCCATTAGTTGTTTTTAAAAAAACTAAAAATCTCTAGGAAAAGTCCTCCACTTCCAAAAAGAAAGCAAAGCCGCCAAACATTTAATCAGAAGGATAGCTAGTTTTCCCCACTCAGCTCACTGTGCATAAAGGCACATTGACAGCCCATGAAAGACAAGATCTCTAGCTATGCAACAGGCTTAGTGTCTGGAAAGGCACTACAAGCTTGCCATTACAGCTTCATCCTACTTGCTTCAAGCTTAAATTTGATCCATCACATTTGTGAAGAGTGAAGTTCAGGCTCCGTGATTTATGCAGTGGTTCCACTCTGCCCCATTTTTTTTTTTTAAGCCATTTTTTATTATTTTCTTAGACAGGCTTTCCTCAGCTCCTATTTTGAAAACTACTTTCTAGGATGCATGTTTTTGCAAAGCATATCTTGAGAAGCATATCAGGAAAGGGAGATTAACATGCAAGAAGGCAGCTCCGTCAGAGATTGGGAATGCAGCTGCCTGGCCAAAACCTTCCACTGCAGCAGGAACAGGTCAGAGAAAACCTCCTGGCTGCCAGGAACTCTGCATGCTGTCCCTCTCTACTGTGATCCAGACACAGGCTTTTCACTCAGTTTCTAGTCCAAGCCTGAAGTCTATCCCCATTCCTGTTTCTTACACAGAGTCTACATCCTCCATTTTCAGAATCACTGGTTTAACAGAATTCTCAGTCTGTCTACAAATGAATCCAGCAGAGCTGACTGATTGAGAAAATACAAGATTATGACCTCAACGGATTTCAATCGGACTGAAACCTTCTTCATTTGGAACACTGAGCACCAAGTGGGTAGCTACTAGCATGAGTCATGTCTCATGTGGTCCGAGTTTGAACCAACTGATCAGATACACAATAATGTGAGATAAGACACCTGAAAGAAGATGGTGAGGCAGCTAAGAAACCAGGAATTCAAACTGAAGTAACTGACTTAACTTGAAGGTATCTATCGCACCAAGCATCTTCTTTGGAGGTACAAGCAAATCCATACCTAGCTACTTTTAAAGGAAGCTAATGGATATTTCTGAAGAAATTAAAAGACTTCTTATAGTACAGGTAAGCTTTATCCTAAAAGTTCATACGCCAAATTGGAAAAAAAAAAAGGAACGATCATGCAGAAATTGGACTGAGTGGTCAACATTGATTTTATGTACCATGTTATTCAGCAAGCTGTTTTCAGCTGAACAAGGAAACAAATAGAATTAAAAAGTAAGAGGACTGTTTCCAGTGTCTCCAATACCCACAAGAACACTAAAAGCTTTTCAGTTATTCTGTTTGTTTTTTAAACCATGCAAGGCCAAGATGAATTGTATTAGTGAATCATGAAATAGGTTGTCATCTATCTCCTCTCACCACGGCAGACTCACGGCATGGTACGCAAGCTAATAGTTTAATTACAGAGCCTCAGGAAATGAGAAAGGCAATAAGGCAGACGATCACAGCAGGAACACATTAATGGCCTTTTTATCTTACAGAATAAATTTGTTTATCTGCTATTTCAAAGGTCCAATGTGGCAATTAACTCTTCTGTTTGCAAACTGACACTAACGCTTTGTACTGCAGCTATAATTAGTTACCATCAGCATGGCACCGTAGCAACTTTGAATGTTGAGTTAGCCTAAGCAGCCAGTTTCTGAGAAACTCAATCCCTTTTTCAGGCCCCTTGCTTCACCAAGAGCCAACTTCTTAGGTCATGTGGAATCTTTCAGCTTTCCACAAGTTAAGGTTTCTGCATCAGAGACTGGAAGGGATATTTTACAAAATCACCATCTCCTATAC